GATGTCATAAGTGGAGCCCCTGCCTGCTTAACAGGGCTTCTATCCCTATAGAAATGAAGCGAAATACAATGCGATTAAGTCGCACAACCCGCAGAAGTAAAACTTTGCATCAGGATAAAAATTAACTGTATTAGTGCATTTATGTACATTCATTTATAGTATCAATCTTTCATGCTCTACATTATGTTAAAACTTATTACATGCACGGAGCTTTTATTATTACTTGTGTACTAGTTACAGGAATCGTCAAAAACTCAAATAGCAGTTATCCTTTGATAATTCACCGGTTACAAACCGACCAGTAGTGCAGATACAGTTATAAAAAATAAAAAAGGCAGCCCATTAGGCTACTAGAAGAACGGGACGGTATGTTAAGCAGTGCAAATACAAACAAATTGAAGGGAAAAAATTTTACTGCCAGGTATGAACTTTTCTAAGAAAGCTTTAGCTTCGATAGTGGAAATCGATTCATAACTTCGTTCCAGTGCGAACCTAATTCCATACCAACATCTTTGTTCATGGACTGGTTTTATCTTGTCTTTCTTTATCTTCGAATCTAAACTGTATCTCTCTCGATTCATTCCCTCCATTTTGTTCCATACATGCAGTTTTTGTACATCATATGTTCCACAACCGCCGAGGCGTTGAGGCTTCACGCAAAGTGTAGATCGATACTTCAACGCTTTCAGGCTACCAAGGCGCTATACCTTTCTGCGTTTTGTGGTGTTGCTAGTTTCTCCTATACAACTGAGTTCGATTATACACTAATGGTAATATTTCGACTGGCCAAATTTCTTGAAGTTTCGAACAGACCAGAGAATGGGGCAACAAACGCGCATCGACAAGATCCGTAAAGGCCAGCTTTGCTGCAAATGATTGCCCTACTGGAGACTGACATATGGTGCATCGAAATATTAACATTAACATCTTAAACCGCCAACCATAGAAAAATACAACCTATCCCTCGACCAAGTCATTCTTCCTCTGCGTTATACAAAAGTGTGATATCGAAAAAAACAACTTACGTTGCGAATCGCTAGCCGTTGCAGGACTTTGACTATTTCTTGTTCATCGCCAGCAACAAGCTTTGGACAGCTTACATCTAGATACGATCCGAATCACATAATGCTAAGAAAAATAAGCATCACGACGGTCCTCACCACTGACGACTATGCCGTAAGCAGCCAACGACTTGACACTGACGCTGACGTTGTGCAACTTCTGCAACCGGCTGATCGGTGGTCCCCAAAGCTCGCATTCTAGACTCCAGTCACGTTGCAGAATTTCCGCCAACCGTCTAAAACACACAGACTCCTTGAATGCCATTCTACGGTCATAGTAAATAGTCAATAACCACAGTCGCAGCTGACTTACGTTAATATGACACCGTCCCGGAAATCTTCAGTCAAGTTGCTGACGGTCACTTTGTATTCATGGAGCCAGGACTGCTCGTATCGCGGCGTATAGTCGATGCGAGACAGTTCTTTCAGCATGTCCCGTTGAGGGCTTATAAATTCCTTAGCAAGAGCCGTTAACAGGTCTTTAACGCTCTACAAAAAGCAAAGTCATTACAGTAGCAAATATCAAATTTGATTCGGGTCAAAGTCACTTTTCTATAGATTTTTTGAACAGGGATCTAACAGCCTGACAAGCAATTGTACAAGAAAAGTCTGCACTATCATTTATTTTTTTAACTTTATTGCCTGACATGACATAGCGTAACGAAAACCAGTAGATTAGACCAGCCCCAAAATTTATTGCCATATAAAATATCATAATAATCTACTAACATGTATATCATAATTACATATTACGGCATTCTTGTTCATAATAATGAAACCGTTATAACGCCAACTAAGGTTTAAATTTCTAATTACGATGAAAGACTAAAAGTCTACTCACTCACCTCGTTTGAAGTTCACTATTAGTAATAAAGCGTGATAGGTAACTGACAGTATATCTAGCACAAATTTCGATCCCGTAAACTATGCAATCTAATAAAATAAACATGTCTCTCCTATGGATTCGTGTGTCAAAACCGACACTGTACTATTCCCCTAGACGACTAGGGAATGTTCTAAATGGACAACAGCTCAATGGCATTATTCATAACCTCACGTTAATGGATGCAAAACTGAGTGACTGCACTGTATCAAGAAAATCTTAACCCAATCGAACTTGATATACATTATATGATCTGCATTGTATGACCATATATTCATGCTATGTAGTTGCCATAGTTCTGTTGCCTTGCACTGATGATCACCAGTGATTGAAGCTGTCATCTGGTGTTCAAGACGGCTTGAATTGTTTATAAAATGCTGCAGCAAAACCTGTGGGAAACTGTTGTAAGTAAATCAATGAAACTGAAATCGTACGGATATTTGCAGCTGTTCGAACAGAAGTCAGACTGGTATAAGATGGAAGGACTTGAAGAACATTATATTAGAAACATTCATAATGCACAAAGAAATGCCAGGACTGACAAGAAAATCCAGGTATCCGTACAATCTAGGTTTGAGCTTGTTCCTACCCACAAATGGATCACCAGTTTCAGATGCAAGACCGTTGCAAATCCTGGTTCACCTTCAACAGTAATTTGCGCACTCTCTGAAACTGAACTTAATTAATCAAATAATTAAGTGAAAAAGAAAAAAAATCTTTTAAATAATAAACCCTGTTATTATGGGTTTAGCAACCTGCAAGCTTTTAATACCGCCGGTAAGAATAACGTAGTCCTGTCAATCCTCTACATTTGCACGGCAAAGCACTGTAACCGCGCTTTTAATAGCCTAGGGAAATGTATAAGGAGGTACGGCTACTTGATATTTTCGGACTTGCAGTGTACGGAGGCAAACCGGCACGACCTATTTTGGGTAGAACAAAACCATATTTGAATACAAATGGATATACTTCATTTCATAGGCCATAAAAATAATAAACCCTGATAAAATAAAGCAAAACCGGTTTACTTATACACAACGCAAACAATACTGTAGTAAAATGCCTCTATTCTTAAAGGTAGATTGGAGGTGAAGTATCGTGAATGTGATTAAAGAAGGTCCGTGAGACAAGGGACGAAGCATCGATATTGGTTAGTAACCAGACTGATCACAGTATCATCTACGCTATATATAAGCAGACCGTATTCTACGCTATTTTTTCAATATGACCGGCAACGTAGGAACGAATTAGTCCATCTTCGAAAAAAATGAACCGTGTTATTACGGGTTTGCTAGCAAACTGCTAACTTTTATACACCCAGTAAATCAGGAGGATTACCAAAAGAATGCTAAATAAGCTAACATTTGTTAACTTTGCAAAGGCACAGTTTAGATTCGCTTAAAAGCCTCATTTGAACAACATCTACTACTTTGAGCGTTGAAGACTTAGGCGCTATGAACCAAATTCAGGTAGGCATACTTCAAAACTGCTTTTGGGTTTGAAGAGAGAATATCGGAAGGAGAGGATGTCCGCCGCCGTAGCGAAATCAAGAAATATGAACAACGTCAGAAAACGATACAGAAAGTGCTTTCCGATGGCAGTAGAGAAGCCTAAAAGTACAAAGGTAGATCATAAGTCTGGTTTATTAATCACGTGACGCTTCTCTTTACCTTGTTTCTGATAATGAATGATGTTCTTGAAAGAATACTGCCGCGCCAGCGCTGGGTCGCTGAAAACGCGCAAGAGGATGAACCGCACCAACACTCGGACATCAGATACGTTGTTTCCATGCGGGATAGTCTCGCTAAAAATGCTCTCTAGCCCAATGCGTAGCCATACAGGTCTAACACTCAGAAGCATATCCAAAAGGCATTCTCGCAAGCCTACAAAAGTTACGTTAAGCTTTAATAGTAATATCGATAACGATGACAAATCTTATGTTATGCTACGTGTTGAACGCTATTATTTTAAGAAAATAGTTTTACGTCATATATATAATCCTTTGGCAAGTCACAAACGGGCACACCACGCATAATATGTTCTTTAATTAGAGACA